CTTTATTCTTTGCTAGTAGGTATATAGATATCATTGTTTATTTGTCCAAATCGGAGCTTCTTCCAATGGTTGAAAAAAATTAGGACGCTTTCATACTACACGCTTATAGAAGCGCTACAGTGGCACCACTGTGCCGCTGCTGTGATTATTATTAAACCTGTGATAACTGCAACTGTTATGGACAGTTGTGTTGCTTTCCACCATAAAAATAAAGAGTTTTCAAGAAATTCGTAGTGGCCATATTGTTTTTGTACATGTGGTTACACTTCCTGTAAATTTTAACAGGGATGTACTCGTCTCTTGTTCAAATACACAATGAGATATTTCTTCCTAATGACACAGTTTGCGTGCAGATGAGAATCTTTTTCGATTATTCACATTCAAGTCTATTGTCGTTTACTCTATTTTTATTTATTTTTCGTTATATCTATTTTTCGTTTACTTCCGTTTGATTGATCATCTTATTTGAAAGTAGATAATAATAATGTGAAAAAGAACGACATCGTTTATCTGTGGGGCAAGCATGACGAGAACGATATAACACGCGAGATAACTGCTATTTCGCATAGAGGATAACAATATCTCGCTCTTGTATTTCGTGTCAGGGTTATTGGTTTCTTAATAGGGAATGCCCTGTGCTATAAGTATCCGAGTAACGAAACTCAAAACAGTTAATTTCCCAAATTGGTTCTACCAATTTTAGTTCTGGTTGGGAATCGAACCCGAGATCTCCTTATTCAGCGTCGACAGAAGAAAACCGTTGAGCCACCGTGGTCGTTAAAGATTGAGACATGTTTATGAAAGCTATGAATTATCGTGGACATTTTGAATTACGGATTACCGAGATCATATTAGTACATCATATTAGTCATATTTTCGAAGAATATTATAGGCATATTTAGGCATAGGCATGAGTAAAATACAATCAATACTACACAAACATTTGGGTGTGAAAAAGCTGTGCTGTCGGTGGATCCCACACAATTTGACTGAGGCTCAAAAAACGGATCCTGTCACTTGGTGCAATGCCATGCATACCAGATTCAATGAAGGGGCATCAAATTTGGCGTGGGACATAGGAACAGGCGACGAAACATGGATTTATAGTTACGATCTCAAAACAAAGCAGCAATCGAGCGTATGGGTCTTTCGAGATGAGCCGAAACCAACTAAAGTGGCGCGAGTGCAAAGTGCCTCTAAGCGGATGATTGCTTCTTTTCTTAATAAAACTGGACACGTGGCTACTGTTGCTTTGGAGAATCATTATACCGTGAATAGTGATTGGTACACGACCATTTGTTTGCCGGAAGTTATTGACAAACTCCGTAAAAATAACCGTAAACCCCGTATGATCTTGCACCACGATAATGCGAGTTCTCACACGGTCAGGCAGTCAAATGAATTTTTGAAAATGAACAACGTTGACCTTATGAGCCATCCCGCGTACAGTCCCGACCTGGCACCTTGTGAGTTTTATTTATTTCGAAAAATTAAGAACCTGAAGAGGCTGTCGAAGAGTAAGTAGAATATGTTGCAGAGATTGTCACGGAGAAATGGCATAATTGTTTTCAAAATTAGTTCATTCGTATGAAAAAGTGGACGGTGCTGCAAAATAAAGCTGCGGCATGCTTAGGGATATCGAGACGGCTGCCTTTGCGGGTGCTTTGGCAGCTTTGGGATGCTTAGGTCTGACACAAATTACATTAACTTTTTATAATATCAAATGACGGGGTGAACAAGTCCTGCGCCTGATGGTAAGCTACACGCCTGTTCATAACAGTTGCAGCGCCACTCTGAGCTTTAAATCGCAAAGATCTGAGGGGCACTGCCACTGCGCCCTGGGACATAAGTTGACAAGTCCCATCTGCCTGTAATTTCACCAGCACACTTACCCTCCAAAACCGGAACACAGTAAAACCGACATTACTGTTTGGCGGCAGAAATAGCTAGGGTGACAGTATTTTTCTGGATGTACTCTTTCACTAGGAGCTCTACTGTTACTTCACTTACTTTACACGTTTCGGCCTTTTGAGTTTTATCATAAATTTTTATTGTATAGACTAGTTAAAACTTCCGTGTAAACTGACCAAACAAACCATATTTTTCTTTAAAAACTCTTGTAAACAATACTAATGCTCCTTCATTTTATTTATAGATGCTTGTTGTGTATCAACTATGATAAACAGACTGTTATAGGACTAAGTTTTCATTTTTCCGTATATATGTATTACCTATATACTTAACAATAATTCTTGTGTGTTCACTAAACAATGAAGACGTCATTGGTTTGTTTGCCCCTGCCATATAACAATCATGTCGTTGCCTAGACACTGAACTTATAAACGAGTGGCAATTAAAATCGGGCCAGTTACGCAGCCATTCGCTTCAGATGTTCACTTTTGCACGAGAGCTCATTGTGTTAACAGCTGAACTTTAAAGCAGTCGCAGTTGTCAAGGGTCAAGCTAATTCATTTTATAACTGCTCGTCTTCGAAATCAACCTACAGTTTCTTTGGTGGCAACTAAGCAGACATCAGGTAACCACTAACATTTGAATCCGGAGAAAAATCTGCTCACTTTTGTTTTAATTTTTTTTTACTTCGGATTGTAATATTTTTAGAGGGACTACCGAAACTTCACAATATTAAAATGTAAGTATTTTCGTGTATGATTTGCCGCATGGGTATACTGATTAATGTGTGTGATAAACTCATCATGTTATATGTCACGACATTATGTAATAAGCATGAATATTCATTATCTATATGGCCTGCTTGGCAATATAATAAATATAGGAAATGAAACGATTTTCTTTTTCGGATCTAAGTCGCGTATACTACATATTTGTTTCTTCAAACAAACCAAGATCACGATAGTCGGACGACAAGCAGCCGTGACATTTCCGAAAGCCCGGGCTGTAAAGAGTTTCTTGTTTTAAAACAATTAAGATGCGAGAAAAATAGTTTCATTTCCTACGCGTAATAATTGCGAAAACCTAAGATCTCGAAATATAATTTATATAATTACTTAGCGGACCACAATCACTACCATTACCTGGTCTCAAACTAAGAAACCTTGTCCTGTAAGTACCAGAGAAACTAAGACTTGAAATAATTAGAAATAATTAAGTTCACAGACCACGTAAATACTAGTAAAGTTAGTTTCCCAACTTGGTCCGACCGGGAATCGAACCCAGGACCTCATTCTCCAGTGCATATTGAGATAACCGCTGAGAAACAGATTTTAAATAGTTACTAAAACTATAAGAAATCATAACAACTTAAAGAAAAGAGTAACTTGTAAGTACCATTATAGACGAAACGAATAACATTTTGATACAAACAAAAACCTACCCCAAAAGCTGCTCTTTGCTCTTTGTCGCGGTCTCCTCAACGATAATTGAAACGCATGAAGGTCTCGTCAAAAAAAAAACTTTTTGGGGCCCAACCATAAGGTAGCTGCTGTACACTGTAATGGAGTTCCTCTCATCAGTCTGCCATTTCCATCATCAGATCAGATCTAGGTCACCATGTTTTATTTGAAGTGGGTTAGCAGAAAGTGGATAAAATTCAACAAACCGGATTCAAAACCTAATTTGCCGCCCTTAGGGATGGTATATTTTCTTTAAATTTAGATCTAGACAGTAAGATCACTATTGAGGTACCCCCTTTCCAACAAAAAAATAATCATTGAAATTGGTTCACAAATATCGAAGTAATCGCGAAGGAATCGCGTACGTAAGAAAAATACAGTCGAATTGAAAACCTACTCCTCAAAGTGAGTTAATTATCTTCAGTTCCAAAATTGCTAGAACGGTGACAATTAAGATGCATTATTTCAAGACGAATGTTTAAAAAACGAAAATGATAATACGTCGAGTTAGTGGGTTTTTCACTGAGGGTACATAATTAACGTATTCGATTAATATCGGTAAAGACGGTAGATTGCCTACGAAATGTGTGACAGTTAACACTCGCACAGACATCTAAGTTCATATAAACATTATGTAGTCAGTTTCTAATTTGCTCGTTTATTATTTTACATAATATTTTCACTCATTGCTGTCCTTTTACTATTTATTCAATTGTGTGAATTAACACTGTCGTGTGGTGAACCGGATCACTGATAGCGAATTGTTAAAATCGTATTCAGTTATTAGTAAGATCGTATCGTGACTCGATCGTATAAGGGTGAACTTGGTATGTTGTGAGATTGGGACTGGCTAGTTGAGGGGTATTGGAGGCCACGGTAGTGTCTAATACGATTTATTTTACACTATACATAAAACCAGTGATGTAACTTTATGTAAATTAGTTTGAAGATGCATGTGCACCATCGTTATAAATATTGTTTTTTATTAGTTTATTTATGCTCGTGATCGTGTTGTTATAAGAATCCCGGGCCAAATGCAGTTAAGGGACAGATAAAAAAAACATAAATCTGATAATCAACATTTTATAGGGAAATAAATCAGGTATCAACACTTGTTTATAACCTAGTGGAAAGTAGGTTGTTTATATACTTAGAGGAAATAAAAATAAGTAATAGACAGCATAAGTTTTTCAAAACAAGAACAATGTTATTTACATTCCCTTTGCTTTAACATTTATCTAACGTTCACGCAAGGCCGCGAAAGTGATAAAGTGTTTGATTTACACTTACAAAATGTATGAGAAAACATTTTTGCGATTCCTAACCATGTTGTAACCTAACTTCTCCTTTTATGTTAGGGATAGTCTCTTAAGAATATTTTCCTGTAAAGAAATTTGTATTACTACAAATAGATATTTAAATAATGTTGTAAGTTAATAAGTAACAATGAACATAATATAGACTTAAACTTTCGCCTTATTCTTAACATTTCAAAATTGGATAATATATTATATGTAATAAATATAGATGATACGTCAGGATATTAGCCAGGTGTGAAAATAATTCATTTTTTTTCCGTTTACAAAATATGTTAGTATAATGTAAATAATACATTTGTTACACGACCCTGTACATGAATGGCAGCATGTATACGTTATCAGTATTTTAATTCTATAGTAAATAGAAGCTCGTCAATCTCATTTACGTACGTATGTAAATACACATATTCATTTATTAGTCCCGCGTTGCCTGTTTGTTACATATGAATTCCGACTCTTAGTAATATCCGAAGCCTACGATGTTCCTGTGAGTCAACACTGTTGCAGTCATAACCAAACCATATTCGTCTATGAAAGACATTTAGTCATACACGAATCGACAATGCATTACTTTAATTTCACTACGTAACAACTACATAGTCGTTTATTTAAATTGTTTTGTCCTCATATGTAATACTAATTCTCCCCTAATGGTCTTTAAATGATCCTTCTCTTTCAGACAAACGTCCGCGCATTACATTTCAGAAACTATAATTACATCAAGGAAAGTGTATTTTAAGACAAAAACGATTTTTGAAAATGGAATCACGTGAGAAAGACGTAGCTGTCGAGGTTAGCGTGACTACACTCCACGCTAAACTTGGCAGCAGCGACCTAACCAAGCCGCCTTATGCAGGAGTGGATGAGGCAGGTGGGTAATACCACTACACAGGTGTAGTGTATTTTCCTGTTTATGTTTAAGTAAATAAGAGACGTGTTAATCTAAATGAAATATTTTTAATAATTTAAAATTTTGTATCGCGGGCAGGAAAGACTTCAGAGGGTGAGAGGCAGCTAAAAGATTTGGACGACTTGTTTCCGTACATAGGCGAGTTTGGATGGTACCAACGACTTTTGTTCTTGATGATGTTACCTTATGCTACCTTCTTTGCTGTGGTGTACTTCGCACAGATTTTCATGACAGTTGTACCTGCCGAACATTGGTGTAATGTGCCGGAACTTCAAAATTTTACTGTTGAACAACGGTAAGTATATCTACCATGTGAACCTGTAAAATCGCATATATTTCGTTCATTCTGTTATGTCCATGAGTATGTAATAATTCAATTTATTCCCTTAGTCGCTATCTTGCCATACCACGAAGTGACGATGGGTCCTACGAGAAGTGCTTGATGTACGAAGTAGATTGGAGCAGCGTTTTGTCGAATGGAACCCGTCATCCAGACCGCTCATGGAGTACTTCACTCTGTCGCTACGGCTACGAATTTGAATTTACCGACGTGCCTTATGAAACAATTGCTACACAGGTTTTTCAGTAATATTTTTGTTATCCTGAAATCGCCATCCCATCAAATAAGAACCAAGTTGTCTTGGTATTCCATGATTTTTTTTAAATAAAATTCTTCTGATAACTTGAGAGTTGATACTACTTCAGCTCAAATTCAAACATTTTTCCCATACTAATTTGGTTCATATTGCTTGAGTCGGGCAGCAGGGACACTGGCTTTATTTCAGAATTATTTTTTTCACAAACGAAAGTAAAGCCATATGGAAAATGTATATCAAATAGTATACGTGTTCTATTTACTTCAGTTGATATTTAAAAAATCATTGGTAAAGGTACCTATTCAATATAGCGGTTTTCATGTAAAATTTCAATGTATGTTTGTATTTTTTTCTATCGCGAAAATGTTTACGAATCGTGTTTTCAATGTATACCGTCAAATTTACTATATTTTTACCAAAGTGAGTGATTGAATACTTTCACTGTTATGTGGAATCAACCAAAGCCAGGCAGTATATACCTACTCTTAATGAAACTAAAATAGTTGTACAGGGGTGCCAAATTATGCATTATCGCATTATTCTGTACCATTTTTTATTATTTCCTTTGACTTTCTTGTTATTAATAATTATAGTGTTAAATTGATCTGCAGTTAGGATGGGTGTGTGAGAAAGGTGAAAACGTGGCGACTGCTCAAGCGGTGTTTTTCTGCGGTGCTATCGTCGGCGGATTGCTCTTCGGATGGTTAGCTGACAAGTATGGTCGGGTGCCCGCATTATTCGGTTAGTGATACACCGCTGTAGCTATTGTATAAATTCGCTAGCGAGTGTAGTGCCTTGTTTTGAGTTGTATGCGCTCTTGGACTTGTAGTGTAATTCGTAACCATTTAATACAAGAACTAATTAATATCCTTTATAATTTTGCTATAGCATTTACATGTGGATTTACATATTTAATAGTCAATTCCACAGCACGTGCATGTAAAATTTTTTTTTGACAGGCGTTCAAATTTTTACATCAGACTTTATTATTATTACCTCCACTATTATTATACAAAAAAACCAAGGATTCGAGTTTCTTGTCTAGGTACAAATATAATTTTATATTTATAAAATACAAAGTCATACCTATACGAATCCTGCACCCCTGTATATACAATGTGTCAACATCATTATTTGAGAATTGTAACTTACTCCGATTTTTTTTATAATACGCAACAACGCACACACTCAACATAGCGCCGCACTAGGGAAACCCTGTGTCGCGGGTGCCATGGACACATACATACGAGTACATAGACAACCACAAATTACACCGAAACTCACGAGAGAAATAAATGTAGGCCATATAAATATTTCTCCCGGCCCGGGAATCGAACCTGAGACCTCTGCGACGGTGGCAGTCCGGCATGGTAACCGTTCGGCCATAGGGGCAGTTTTGAGTAAGAATGGTTACACACGGTGACTTTTTACGAACGTGCGCTTGCATCGATACACTTGCGATTTACAGGCGATTGTATCGATGCAGTCGCGCGCTTGCATCGCTGCTTCAAGTCGCGCGCATGTGTCAAGATAGACGATTAGCGACTGCATCGCGTTCGCATCTCGTTTGCATCGCTTCTAAAAATTGCCGTGTGTAACCACTCTAATAGTATTGAAACTAGCAATTCAAAGAAGTGATCGTTTGTATAATATTTTGATCTGTGGTTGACTTACTTTGTTACTCAAAACTTTTAATGTTAATTCAGGAGCTAATATGGCAGCACTGGCCGGGGGAATGGGAACCGCATTTTGCAACGATTTCTGGTCATTCTGCGTGTGTCGCTTCATTGTCGGCCTCGCTTATGACAACTGTTTCATGATCATGTATATCGTTGGTGAGTTAATTAAAATTCAGCTTTTAATTTTTATAAATATATAGTTACATAAAATGACTCATTTATGGTAAAGCATGAATACCATATAAGTTTCTGTATTTCAACCAGTTTAGACCGAACTTCATACATATCTCGTTGGATGAGAAGAACTAACTACAGTCTGTTTTTTTTGAAGACGGAGTAAAGTGACATTTGAAGGGTGGCCAATTTTCATAAAATTTAAAAAAGTTTTATCGACAGATTGTAAAAGAAGATAAAATTGTGCCAAAAATGACTGAATTGTGAATGTTACGACGTTCTAATGATTATCAATTGCGTTATTACCATACTAGTATCGAGATCAATATTATTCATATAGATTTTAAGAAGAAGAAGAATAGCTGGATTTCATGATCAATATTGAATTAAAATGAAAAATTTTAAAATATGCCTCCCCTTTGTAATTTTCATAAACATAGTTCTACATACAGTGTATGAATATATGGACTTACAAAAATTGTCAATTCAAATGAACTTGTGCTCTATAATTGGTTGAGGATTATTCAAAGTTCGGCTATTTATTCCATAAGCGCGTCATTTTACTAAGTCTTCAAAAAAGACAGACTATAGTTTTTACCTGATTTACGTAAAACAAAACACTTATTCTTAATCATTTCGCCCACAGTGGTAGAATATGTAGGCCCTCGATATCGCACGATGGTTGTCAACCTTTCATTTGGAGTTTTCTTCACGGGGGCCGCGTGTGCGTTGCCGTGGATCGCGCTAGCGGCCGCGGATTGGCGGTTGTACGCCCTCGTCACCACTGCGCCTTTGATTCTTGCCATATTCACGCCATGTGTCGTTCCGGAAAGCGCTAGGTTTGAAATTTAAAATTATTTGTTTTTGCTATTTTACTTTTAATGTTTCTTTACTGCAAAGTTTCTTTACGGCAAATGAAACAATCCCACGAGGTAGCTTTATTTCTTGTTAATTAGGTAAAAACTAAAACAATTGTATTCACTATTTAACTTCTGTTCCGGGGCAGTTTTCGTGTGCTTTCCGTAATTATGAATAAAAGTCCAATACGCCCACAAAAAATTGCAAAGGGACAATAATTGCAGCATTTACTATTTGACGTTGCTACAAAACACACCTTATGGTAAAAGCATTGACTTACAATTAAGTCAATGGGTAAAAGTAAGTATTTTGTGACAGCTTTTTATTTTGTTATTGTCAAATGTCTTTTGTGCTTTCTGCAATGGAAAACTAATTCATAATATTATATTATAATAAGCATTCCATCAACTATACCTACGCATTTTATAGTTTCATAAAAATCTGCTAAAAGTCATCGGCACATTTTATGAAATTCCCATCGAATTTTTATTGTATTGAAATTGAATTTTGTTGCAATGACAACTAAATACCAGTGTCGGCTCTCATGGTTGAAATTTTTTATTTACACTTTTTAAATTTTTAATATTACAAAATGGGGATAAGCGCGATAAATACCATAGTCAAAAGCTTCAATTTCGCTCCAATTCTGAAATAGGTGACCTTAAATTCGAGTAATTAAAAATATTTTGGTGATAAGGGAAACGTCCCTGTAGCAATGAATATAGAGACTTATTAATCGATCCACATATATGCAAGTCGGTATCACAAAACCTCATGCCCACAGATATTCTCAGGATAAGAATACTGATTCAGGAAAACCAGGATCTATTTATTGAAGAGGAGTACCAGAAGCTATACAAACCGAAGTCACATCAATCACTCAAACTTCTGGTATAGTCTGCCCAAAATACACAAGTCCAACGTGCCGTTGCGAATGGTCGTAAGTGCTTTTTCTACTTACGAATCTGGCAAAGCATATTGCGTAGGTATGCCTAGGTATTACAGGCACTAGTGCGGAAGACACCGTCTTTTGTGAAAGATTCAAGGCTTTTATGCAAATAATAGAAGGGCCTCGTATTGGAACGAGAAAGCAATGAATGGTACGAAGAAGAAAATGGTAAATTTCCACCACTAATATTCCAATCGAAGCTTGCCTGCTTGTAGTTAAAGACAGACTGAAGGACAAGTAAATGCCGTCAAACTGCGTTGATATATTGTAACACTGTTTGGAAGGAAAGTATTTTCCTTTCCAGAATAAATATTACCGCCAGGTAGATGATATTGCAATAGGAAGCCAAAGTAGACCTGGTAGCCAATATATGGATGGAACATTTTGTGAAAAAAGCACTGAGCACCGGCCCTAGAACTTTCAAAGATATTCGATAGATAGACGATTTCCGTATCATTAAGTGGAACAGGTAGAGTAGATACATCGTCTTTAATCTATTAATCCGAATATGAGGTTTACATACGAGATCGAAACGGACAGGTCGCTATCTTTCTTGAATGTCAAAATGACAATGAAATCATGGTGAAATCCGATGGATTAACACACTGTGTTTACTGTAAATCCACTGACACAGACAGATACTTACAAGTAATGACGTCCTTAAAAAACAGAGCTTACGACCTCTGGGACTTTGACGGCCTTTGTTTCTAAGTGCATTATAAACGGTTATAATGCACTTAGAAACAAAGTATACCAAGTAAACCAACGACGCAAAGAGCCTATAAGATGATTTAAGAATCCAGTGGTTAGTAAACAACCAACCTTTATGCCCTATGTTAAAGGATAGGTGAACACGATTGGCCACGTTTTACCTCAACACTCGACACGGACAAGGCGAAAAGATGAATGGTTATCTCAAAGAATGTCTTACCACTTCAAATGCCCGGCTTCTTCAAAATTGACTGCAGTAGTCGTAGGTCAGATGAACAGAACTATCACTGAATGGGTCAGAGGAACTTATACATAGGGCGCACTATAAGTTTCCGGAACTGGCCACTTATATAAACAATGTTTTAAAAGTAATTACATTTGAAAATGGAACTTTTTGGTTGCAGAATACAGTTTGTTTCATCGGACTGTTACTTGTTTTTACATTGTGGCGTCATTTTAGAAATTGGTTGTCTACATCACCATGTATTCAACTCATGAAAATTTGCGTAGTATGATTTTAACGACTTTAAGTGTAATTTAATAGCTCAGCGGAGCTTCGCTCGGCTTCAAACTGCTTTTGACGATAAAGTACCATGCAAAACAACTATTTATAGCTAACTGCTAACGGCCAATTGGCCAATTGGCTTCTTTTAATTGTAAAATGAGCAAGAAGGTAGACCAATTTCTCTGCAGACCGATTACCACAGAACGAATAATTAGATTTCAAAATAATATCGGCAACAGTTTAAATTCCCTATCCCATATACCGGAGGATCCAAATACTTTATATAACACGATATTTGGTTTAATTAAAAATGAATTTGACAATATATTTAAATCGAAAACATTAACTTTCCATAGAGAGACTAAATTCAACGACTGGGCAACAGTAGGTATTCATAAGAGTAGGTCTCGTTTGTATGAGCTATATGCTATGAAAACCTATAATACTAATTCCAATTTCATAGAATATGTTAGAATTTATTCGAAAATATTTAAAAAAGTTTGTGTAGCTGCTAAGGTTAAGTTTCACAGCGACAAAATTAGACAATCGATAAATAAATCTAAAACTACTTGGAGCATAATAAATAAAGAGTCAGGCAGGGTTAAACTACAAGATAGAGATATAGTTTTAGAATTAGACAGCAAACTTATAAAATCTAAAGATAAAGTAGCCCAAGCTTTTGAATCGTTATTTTCGGAAATTGCTGTGAACACTACAAAATCATTAAATTCCTCCCCTTCACTTGCTATTGATCTCCTAAAGGAAAATGTTAACGTTTGTGGCAGTTTATTTAATTTTCGTCATGTTAATCCACAAGGCATCATAAAAGCTTTTAAGTCGATACATGTTAAAAAAACTGAAGATCTCTGGGGCATATCAACTAAAGTTATAGACTCAGTTATTAATCTCATTTCCCCACAGTTAGCTGTAGCTTTCAATAGGTGCGTTGACGAAGGTGTTTATCCCGATTTAATGAAATACAGCAAGGTTATTCCCTTATTCAAAAGCGGTAGGAAAGTTGATCCTAGCAACTATAGGCCTATTTCAATTTTACCAGCTTTAAGTAAAATATTCGAAAAGGTTATGCTAACTCAATTACTGTCCTATTTCGGTAGGAATCATATTTTTCATAGTGAACAATACGGGTTTACTAGTGGTAGATCGACTAGCGATGCGGGGGTAGCGTTACTAAAACACATCTTTGATGCTTGGGAAAGGTCCCAGAACGCTATTGGTGTTTTCTGTGACCTCTCAAAGGCATTTGATTGCGTTGATCATAATACTCTTATTAGGAAGCTGGAACATTACGGTGTAAATGGCAAGGCGTCGAAACTTGTCTCGTCATATCTCAACGGTAGAATTCAGAAAATAGACATAAATGGAGTGACTTCTTTGGGTTCTCCAGTAAAAATGGGTGTTCCGCAGGGCTCAATACTTGGACCTTTCTTATTTCTGATTTACATTAATGATCTGCCATTCTTTGTTAAGGACCATTGCGAAATAGTGTTGTTTGCTGATGACACATCCTTGATTTTTAAAACAGACAGACATGACATTAACTATGACCGTATTAATGATACCCTCTCTAAGGTAGTTTATTGGTTTAATGCTAACAATTTATTGCTTAATGCCAAGAAGACAAAATGTGTTAAATTTGAATTACCTAACGTAAAATCGACTAGTCCAAGCATAGAAATAAACGGAGAAAAGTTAGACCTTGTTAATAAAGCAGTCTTCTTGGGAGTGACCTTAGATAGTAAACTTCAGTGGTTTCCACATATATCGTCCCTGGCCAGCAGATTAAGCTCCGCTGCATACGCAGTCCGCAGAATACGTGAGCTTACCGATGTTAGTACTGCTAGACTAGTTTACTTTAGTTACTTCCATAGTATAATGTCCTACGGGATTCTCATGTGGGGTAAAGCGGCAGATATTCAAACCATATTTGTATTGCAAAAACGAGCGATTCGTTCTGTGTACCGTCTAGGCTCTCGGGTATCTCTCAGAGAAAAGTTTAAGGAGACTGGTATCATGACTGTGGCATCACAGTACATTTACTCAAATATTTTATATGCCCGTAAAAATTTACATAATTTCAATAAGAAAGAAGATATCCATAATATTAACCTTAGAGCTAAGTCCAAACTCATGGTACCACGATTTCGTTTAACCAAGGTAAACAACTCTTTTATGGGGAACTGTATACGTTTTTACAATAAGATTCCGGAGCATATATTAAGTTTATCATTTCCTAAGTTTAAAAACTACATTAAAAATATTTTGATCGAAAAATCATATTACAAAATTGAAGACTACGTGTTAGATAAAGATGTATGGAAAGACGACATGGCTCCAGAATCCACACAAATTTGATTCAAAGTGTATTCCATAGCATTTAAGTTTATTGAAAAGAGCAATCCCTAGAGTTTCTTGCTCGTTCTTCTCAGGGAGGTCAGCGTAGTGAACGAGCAGTAGCTTAAATGTAGCTTAAATGTGACGTTTTCAAGTGTAAATTTATTTTACCTATGGAATAAATAATCTTTGACTTTGACTTTGACTTTGACTGGTTTGCAGAATTCAAACCCGGTCGCGTGAATCTCAGTGACAATCCCTATATACAGTCCCGACCTGGCACCTCGTGACTTTTATTTATTTTCAAGAATTAAGAACCAGTTACGCGGTCAATTATTTTCATCACCTGAAGAGACTGTCGAAGAGTATGAGAAATATGTTTCAAAAATTGTCACGGATGAGTGGCATAAATGTTTCCAAATTGGTTCGTTCGTATCAAAAAGTGCAGGAACGCTAACGAAGAATATTTTGAGAAACAATAATTTATAGTATTTTTTTCTTATAAATACCGGAAACTTATAGTACGGCACACGTAGTAGCTGTCAGAAGAAAATAAAAAACGCCAATGTAATAAATCGGTCGCTAGATCGAATTTCATCATACGCAGATTCTTTCTATCGATCGCTAGTTTTGATTATTTATTTATATTCAGGTTACGTTGACCCATAAATACACACCTTATGGCCTAACATACATAATAATATAATAAAACACTAATTATTTATTTACACGTATAGTTGTTCGTGAAGCGATTGAAATAAAAATATCCAAATAATTTAAATCGGGAGGATGGTTTCAGATTATCTGCAGCGGTATTTGCTAAAACTCGGTATCATTTTACGCGATCGACTGATTGCCAGAATATGGCTTCCGTGTGGAGTAGTCCACAGTTAGTGATATGTGAGGCAGTTTTTTGACAAATATTGCGAGAGTGGGTGAAGATTCCACCGCCGAGACGAAGACGTAATGTCGCATCACCTGTCAGCCCATGACCATGCAGTGCAAACTGGCTAAAACGTCGGGACAGTGATAGGTGTGCATATCAAAATATTTGTCAAATATTTAAATAAATATTTGTTTCATCGCGTTTATCCCCATTTTGTAAAGGTAGTAAACTTTTTTTGACATAACATTTCTTTTTCTTTGCCGATGATTTTCCTTAGATGTAATTATCCTCTGCATAGACCGCCTTCAAATATTTAGGAATAAGCTTAGATGATAATCAGCACTAAATACTCTTAGTTAATTACCTCTTCAAAAGTATGGTGATTGTTGAAAACATTTTTTTTAGAGCAGCAGTTGTCAACCATCATAGTGATGGTATAGATTGTGAAATTTTTAATTTTTAAGTTTAAAGCAATTCGATTTTGTTTTCCAGATGGCTGATAGCACAAGGTCGTATAGATGAGGCGATAAATGTGCTGAAAAAGTTCGAATATATCAATAGGAGGAAAATACCGAACGAAATTATGGAAGAATTTAGGGTGAGACAAGGAAAATAATTTGTCACCTACTGTAACGCGAAGGAAAGGAATCAATATGGAGGGTGGCTCCATGTATGATGGATCATTTATACCATCCCGTGTATATCTTCCAGAAATTGTGTCAATTCGCTAATTTATATCGTTTTATCATGATTACCTCTGTGATTTGACATAAAATTGCAGGAAACAGCAGCGGAACTAGCGAAGAAAGAACAAGAGGCCAAAAATTATTCAGTGCTAGACCTTTTCCGGAGTCCACGTCTACGACGTCATACCGTAATTCTGGTAGTGTTATGGGCTTCAATCGCGATGGTGTTTGACGGGCATGTGAGAAGCGCCGGCGCTTTCGGGCTGGATATGTTTCTCACCTTCACTCTAGCCACCGCCACAGAGCTTCCAGCAGATTTACTGCTCATTTTCCTGCTTGACTTGTTAGTGTGACTTTTTTTATGGTGTACGGTAAATAGTTTTAATAGTGTAGCAGTCACTAACGTCTAATCAATTCAACAAAACTATCCGCTCGATTGGTTACAGCGTTCCAATTAATATGAGATAGCATGTAATTCGCACGTAATAAATAAATTTCCTAAATACGTACAAGAAAACCAATTACCTACCAACCTACCTTCATTCCAATATGGTAAAATAATAATCATATAATAATTACAGACTCTCGGTCGGGTAGTAACTACCGCTCTATATTCACTTGGCATATATTAATAATGTTCAGTAGAAATAAATGTAATGTGGTTTTATTGTTAAATTTCTATAAATTCGTATTTATATTATAATATGTTTTCTATCACGTTTGTTCACAATTTCATCACACGGATTCTTGTCAATAATTTTAGCGTTTAAAATAAGACTTGTGACATTTTGTTCCTTTTTATTTTATAGCACCGGACGACGTTGGCTGACCTTCAGCACTATGGTCATCGGAGGCCTGTTCTGCTTTATTGTAATAATTGTGCCTTTTGGTGAGTTTATTTTTTTAATAAAATATGTTCTGTCATGTAACCGGGCTACTAATGTATATAATCATTCTATTTTGGGATGTCCTGAAAGGGATACGTAGGATGAGATTATCGTCGATCGATGAGCACCCTATTCTATTTTTGTTGACATTTTTAAGTCCAAATTTTCAGCGGCACGGAATCTTAGTAAGTTTAAAATCTAGGATTGCCCCAAATTCAATGACTTACAAAGCGTTTGCGCACTACGTTCGATTCGTATCTGGCGGTCTACACTCGATCTCCGTCCGACATCTGTCCGAAACAATAACTGCCAAATAAGCAATACTTGACCAAATAAAAAGACGCGTAATACGAATGAAGCTTCATACTGAATACTTGTCGAATCTCGAAAGTCGAATGTTTGTCGAATATTACTTATTTGACAATAATTGTTTCGGACGGATGTCGGACGGAGATCGAGAGTAGACCCCCAGTTTCAAATCCGAGAAATGGCAGTCTGAAGTAGTCGTAGTTCTATTTACGCACTAAATCGATGAATCTTACGAATTCTGTCTTTCGAAGTCGAGACTACCTTCAATTCAGATCGTTAATGCGCGGAACGAAGTAACTACAGTATCATTTGTATTTTCGCTTGAGCACTGAGTCCGATCCAGGTCCGAACCGTTGGTGGGGGCGACGCGGAGGGATGGAGGGCACTTATTATAAAATTTCTTGCTATGTTGCCTTAGTTCATCGGATTATTATACAATGCCCCTCCGAAAACTCAATTCATCAGGAGAATGTATAATTTATCCTGAAACTTCGCACGTACAATAACAATGTCAAAAGCAAATGAAAGAACACATAGTTAACGAATAACTTAAGTGCTGCATTCAACAGGGGCCTTACCATGAACTCTTATTACGATTCGGTTTAGGACCTAAAATGAATCGTAGTGATACAGCGCTACATGAAGTGTATATCACTATCCCGCTTTTTCGTCGTTACGAACCTATACTGAACTGTAATAAGAGTTCATGGTAAGGCCCATGAGCACCAGAATGATCCGAATTTCGGATTCGGCTCGTAGTACTCAAGCGACATCCATAGTTGTTCCGAGTTTTCTAGATCTGGATATTCTCAGAGTCGAAACGTATACGGATCGGGTACAGTCAAATCCTTACGGTATTTATGCGCATTTTAAAAACTGTGGAGCAGTTTGATTTCTCAACATGTTTAACTAATTCAAATGTAGGCTTTTAGTGGGTGCATTGACATGATTGATTACGCTTATGCAGGGGTACCGTCAGCAGCAGCTGGAGTAGCAGGCCGGTTTGCAGTAAACATTGCATACAATTTAGGTATGCAGTTCGCTGCTGAATTGCTACCGACAGTAGCGCGGGCGCAGGGACTTGGCCTCGTTCACATCGCAGGCTATATCGCTACCGTGCTCGTGCCTTATATCATATACATGGTTAGTTATCTCCATGTATCCATTTGTATGATTTGTTCAACTGAATATACTTAAGAGGTAATCTGATCGATATTTATTTGTTTCATCTAGGGTACCTTCGCTTCTTACATCCCACTGGTAGTACTGGGATGCCTAGGGTTTATCGGAGGCTCAATGTCACTTTTACTACCTGATACGACCGGCGAGCCCATGCCTCAGACGCTAAGAGACGGCGAAGAGTTCGGGATACACCAAGATTTTTGGGACGTTCCATGGCTCAAAAGGTAAGTAGCCACTACCTAGTCGCGTTCACAGACGGAAATGACTATAGATAAAATAAGCCACAGAAACGGGAGCGCGGGAGTAATGCGGTTTTTTGATGTCCCATATTATACTTACTTATTTTCCTTTCAACTCATTGAACGGACGTAAATTTATAACTGCAGTGAACCCGCTTACAAACGACGGCGGCAATCGACGTCTGATGTGAACGGGGTCTATAAAATGCACTTATATTATACTGTCGCAATTATATATATATATGTATATATATATATATTCCAAAGATTTTTTTTTATACATGAGATACGTTTGAATATACCTTAGGTATATTTGTAACACCAATGAGTGACTCAGTGTACGCCAGTGTTAAATGCCAACATGAATAATAAATGATAAGACATGATAAAAAAATTACAAGAAACTGCTACAAAGCTTACGTTAGAATAAAATGCAATTTTGTGGGAACACGGAAGCCATTTAATTTTCTCCAAATGGGCAGAACCTTAAACCAACACGAAACTGCTCGGGAAAAACGGTTATAATTCCGGCAATAGCATTCAGTTACATTTATATTTCTGGGTTTAATGTTATCGTAAATTAATTACTTACTTTATAATTTTTTTTTTACAGAAACAAAAGCTTGGACAAGGGTCAAGTAAAAGGAAAAGAACAAATGTAAAAAAAATAATAAATGGTTAATAAATTAATTCATAAATTTAGAATGTGCATGTGAGAGTAATTTTTAAATGTACAGTTTATTGTTTAATAATTTATTGTATGTATAAATTATTATAATCCGGTGTAAAGGAAATGATCTTATTCAAACCTAAGAATGTTATATTGTAACATTCAATTAAAAAAAAATGTTTTTGTAAACACCTACTTTCTTTTCAAAAACAGTAGCGATTAATAATGTTCGATTATTTTATTTTCTTGAAAATATAAGATTTAGTCACCACTTTTATATAATACCTCAAAACTTATTTTAAAAACCTTTTCTTTTCGGCTCACCAATGTATCTACTAGACAAACATACCTTTAAAATGAGCCGAATATACATTCGTGTATAAGGTACAGGCAGGAGGGTGCCTAACGCGACTGAGGGGGTTGTTTCGGCCGGTAGGGATGCCCAATTACCGACTGCTCGCCATACCGTTAAAAATTCGATTACAGTGGCAATTCCAACTTTATAATCTCTTATTCACATTTTTTACTTGGTGTGACATGAAAACTCATTTATTTATTATTTCAAACACAGAAAACAGTTTTAGTTTTTTTTTTACTCTAATTATCTATATTATTATAATATATAATGATAGTCGATACAATAAATTTAATGACTAACCTTTCAAAACTTTTTTAAACAAAGTGTCAAATTATATATATCTAATAATGTTCAGAAAACTGATGGAGAAGGAAAGTATGACGTCGACTAGAAGTTTGTGCGATATACAAACACATCACTAGGAGGCTTAGCAGTTTGTGAAACAGTCGGTGTCGCGTGGGCGGGCGGGACGAAAGCCCACACTCACAATTCTGCCCTCGGCCGCGGCGCGCGCTTACAGTCTCGGTACGACGACGTCACTTTGAACCGCGACAAATGTGCCATCCGAACAATCAAAGTACAAATAAAATATTTTCTTTCAAAAGTGAAAATTAAGAAACACGCTATTATGACAGGCACCGCAGTGAACTTGAAATTTCTTCCTCAAGAATACGTGGAAGGAAATGAAATGTAAAGCCTTACTGCAGCAAAGTACAAGAACTTCCAGCTAAGGTAACTTTGTACACTTTCTACGCTAGTGAATGTTATTTATGTGAAAACGATTGAATTAAATTTTAATTAAATTGTTTATTGCGACTTTTGTTAACGTACTATTACTTACGAAACTCCACACATAAACTAGTAAATAAATATATATATATTTAAAGTGTTCCATGAACTTCTTAAAATGTTTCTTGGGATCTTTAGTGAAGTTGAAGAATTTCCAAGCAACCGCTAATAAAGCTACGTATCTAATAAGAACTTTTTCAACTAGTAGAATGTTGAACTGCTACTGCGATATTGAAATTTTGACAGTGTGTAATTTATCTTTAAACTTTCAAGGTCACTTTCTTTTTTTTGATGCCGTGTCATTAATTTAGATATAAACATATTTTGCTAAATATAAATCATAGTTACTAAGCCAGAAATGCAGGTCGGATGGTTGGTTAAAATTCTAACGAAAATTATTAGTTAAGAACCATGGAGGTCACAACGGGCAACAAATTGTTCTGGTGCGTGGTTTCAGAAGTTGGCACTTGGCATTATATTAAATATTGACCAGTATTATTATATTGGAATTCATTCAACATTAGTTTTAGTATTATTATAAGAACACGTCATTTTAACTAAGTCACTGTTATTTATTGCTGACATTTTTAATTTAATTGTAATTCTAAAAGCGCTAAGTGAATAAAAGGGCAAATAAGGCGAAGTGATTTTTCTGTATGCAAATAAATGTTTTTAGTTTATAAACATGTAGATTCTTTAATTTAAATGAATTTCACTTGTGCACTTGACCCTGAACTGGAAATCACCATGTAAACGACTTGCACATTTTAGATCGACGACGTGAGAAAGTCGCAGAGAGACAATTAAAATGGGCCCTGGACCGTACCTTGTGGTATTTACTGTAAATGTCAATGTGCAGTACATAATATTATCCAGACTATCCACTTTACGGTTACAACGATGATAGATCTTTAAATTGGCCCTCAAGCTAGCACAACATAATACACTATTTGGTTTATTGGGGTTCACAAGTGGACTTATCGAAAGCCTTTGATACTTGTGCTTTTGAGTTATACAAGATAAAAACATAGCAAAAACTTTGAATCAAATTAAATCACATCAAACTTTTTATTTTAGACCATCACTCAGGTTCCCGGTGACCCAGTGTTCAAGGTACTAAAAACGTGCCACTCGTTTGAGAGGAACTCCACATATGCTCAAAAGGGCAGTGGGGGGCTACTCTCGATCTCCGTCCGACATATCCGTCCGAAACAATTACTGTCAAATATGTAATATTCGACAAAATTAAAAGACAAGTATCCAGTATGAAGCTTCATTCGCATCACGCGTCTTTTCATTTGGTCAAGTATTGCTTATTTGGAAGTAATTGTTTCGGACGGATGTCGGACGGAGATCGAGAGTAGACCCCCTGATCAGAGGGCACAGCAGCATCATATCATCAGCATAACTTATAAGTACACTTTGTTTAAGCACTACCGTTAATAGTATATTATTAACGGTAGAGCCACCGATCTAATTTAAATTGAATAACCTAGGCGAGCTAAGTTTTTCCTGTCTCACCCCACACTCCGACTTGTACATGTCTGCGAGCGCACCTGCGCATCTCACTATGTACACTACATTGGTTTGGTTGGCATACCGAAAACCGAACAAATCCACTTCTTCACTTCCCCCAGCGTATTCGTACACTTTTACATTTTGTCCTAAACTCTGTCACTTTTACATTTTGTCGTATAGTAATACGAGACCATTTCGAAAACCTTCGATAAATCCAAAAAACAGGCAGAAATCGGCGTTTGTCCTTTAGTGTAGTACTGGACGGTATGTTTAGTAGTTTAGTAAAGAATAGAATACAATAATATAATAAGATATTTTTTTAATAAAAAGCAAGGAGTTCGCGACGTCGATATAGTAATGTCGTTTTATATTTTAGAGATACTCAAAATAGTCAAATAAATTAAATTAGAATACATACATTAAGATCCTACATTTTATCTTTCATAAACTAGAGTTTCAACTGGAATTATAAGTGTTTTCTTCCTCCGGGACTTCACGTTTTAAAAATGAAATTATTCGCCATTCAACGCGTTCTTCAAAAAGTCCCGTAACGATTTCAGGCCAACTTAATATTTCAATCATTGATATTGCTGACAAGCAAAGGACCATTAGGCGAATCCTCAATTTAACTAAGTACCGAGATAAGACCGTTTGACCTTTATCGGCAATTTTTGGCTCAATTATAGATATCATCAAGATTTTGAGAGAAGGTTATAAAAAACACATATTGCGGGTCCACTAAAGATTCAATTTGATTTGATATTCTATACACGATTTAAATGCGACGGATTGTTCAGTTTCTGATCCAATCTATTGCCGCTGCGTAAGAGAGTATAGAAAGCCAATATTTATTGGCTTTCCATACTCTTAACTTAATTTTCTTCCAAACTTATAGAGATCTATAAACTTGGAAAAAATGACTACACCCTTTTTGTTGCACCTGGTATCATAATTTATTTAACATTTAAACAGACTTGATTCATATCTTTTCATCCAGCGTCTTAACACCTGTTTATAAATTTATGTCACGACCTACTTTAGTTTTAATACAAATAAAATTATCTTGCACTAAGTAAGTACCTACTTTATATTGAAATCGCGCATTACAAATTAAATAAAACTTGAGTTGCTCGTACGACTAAACGTGCACGACAACTTCATTTACTCTAACAAAAACTGAGCCCTGATTCCTTGTTCAAATGTGTGAGTAATAACCATCGCGGGAAGGAATCTATTGTACCTATAACGGAAACAACACTTAAATACAAAACAGAATAAGGTTAGAACTTATGCTCCTATTTTGTGATGGAGTGATTAGTCATAGAGATCAAATTAATCATTGCCACAGGAGACCCAACATTGGGTGACCACGATAGTTACTCCAGAGGACCTCATACAGTTTTATTAAAATTTGTTTTCAGAATTCCTAAAATAAAGTTAGTTGTTGAGATAAATAAATTCAACAAGTTCCTATTACCGATTCGAATTTGGTAAAAATTAGATATAGCCGTGAAATCAACGGTCATATCAAATTTCCTGCAAAGGTGAAGACACATGGGTGCACTTTTACAGTAAAAGGAATTGTTGAGGATGAAATGTATCAGTCGAAAGAGTTTCGACGCTGCACTCTTATCAACTGCAATATTTCTCAATCAGTTATCTAGAGAGATACATTCCGTTTAGAGAAACATTCCGTATAAAAGAA